AAAGATTTAACTAATGAAGAACGTATCGATCATTATGTGAGGATCAGAGTTAATATTGTGTCATTTTAAACAAATCAACATTTAAACTGTGGTCAGAGAAGTTCAGCTGAGAGAGAGAGAGAGAGCGCAGCGGAGTCAGTGTGTGCTGTGACTTTTCCCTCAGGTTCTGGGACTCATAAATAAGCTGTGTTTGTTTCTTTGTGACTTGAGGACCATTTTGAGTAAAGACCTTACAGAGTAAAGACATTTTGTCAAAGTCAGGACATGATCCTCACTTTTTCAAAGGTCTGCTGGAAGACGTTTTCAAAGAAGTTTGAATTAAGTTTAGCAATTACTGTGCGATGGTTAAGGTAAGAGCAGTGGCGGCTGGCGAAAAATATTCTTGGTGGGTCTGTGCCGTGCCATACTCAGTTTTCTGTAACCATCCCGCTACAATTTAACACAAACTGCAGGATACCAGTTCTTTGTGAAATAGAAGGTAATTATTTGATCAATAAACAATAACTAGAAAATCTTTTGAATGGGTGCCTTGTGCTCGTTGCCGACGACGCTCGCACAGAGAGACGCATATTATCCAGGTTCACATGAAATCCAATTTCAGAGACACATTTTCAGCATTGAGAAAAGCTGCATTTTGATCACATGATCCAGGATAGTGACAGAGAGACTGTACCAATTTCAGAGACAGAGAGAAACCATGTTATAAGGTCTGATCACCATCCATGGGATTTTATTAAAAAAATTCAGCCTCCTTCAGGCTTCCTGGGACCATCCCGTAACTATCTGGGGTCTTTATTTTGAATGTCCAGCCTTTTTTAGGCTTCTTAGTAACATCCCGTAACTATCTGGGGATTTTATTTTGAGAATCCAACATCTTTCAGGCTTCCTGGGAACATCCTGTAACTATTTGTGTGTTTTATTTTGAAAATCCAGACTACTTCAGGCTTCCTGGTAAGGTCTTGTCATCATCTAGGACTTTTATTATGAAAAACCAGCATCTTTTAGGCTTCCTGGAAACATTCTGTAACTATTTGGGTGTTTTATTTTGAAGGTCCAGCATTTTTTAGACTTCCTAGCGACATCCTGTAACTATTTGGGGTTTTTATTTTGAAAATCCAGTGTCTTCCAGGCTTCCAGGGAACATTCTGTAACTATCACTATGACAGAGAGAGAGTGAGAAACTGTACCAGTTCAAGAGTAAGGAGAGAGACCCTGAGCCAGAGAATGAGACAGTGAGAGAGAAAGACATGTATAAAAGCTGCATTTTGATGTCAACATGGGGACTGTACCAATTTCAGAGAGAGAGAGAAACCATGTTGTAAGGTTGTAAGGTCTTATCACCATCCATTTCATTTTAAAAATTCAACACCTTTCAGGCTTCCTGACAATATTCTGTAACTATCTGGGGGGGTTATTTTGAAATTCCAGCCTTTTTTAGGCTTCTTAGGAACATTCTGTAACTATTTGGGGATTTTATTTTGAAAATCCAGTGTCTTTCAGGCTTCCTGGGAACATTCTGTAATTATTTGGGCATTTTATTTTGAAAGCCCAGACTTTTTTAGGCTTCTTGGGAACATCCCTTAACTATCTTGGCATTTTATTTTGAAAATCCAGTGTTTTTTAGTCTTCCTGGAAACATTCTGTAACTATTTGGGGGTTTTATTTTAAAAATCCAGCGTCTTTCAAGCTTCCTGGGAACATTCTGTAACTATTTGGGAGTTTTATTTTGAAAATCCACTCTTTTTCCGGCTCCCTGGGAACATCCTGTAACCATCTGGGGGTTTTATTTTGAAAAACCAGGCTCATTACTTGTTTCCTAGGAACATTCTATTATAATGGGGGGGCTTATTTTCAAAATAAAGGGTCTGTACAGACTTCCTGGTAACATCCAGTTACTATTGGGGGGGCTTATTTTCAAAATAAAGGCTCATTACATGTTTCCTGGTAATATCTAGTTACTATGGGGGGGACAGAGAGACTGTACCAATTTCAGAGAGACAGGGAGAAACCATGTTTTGAGGTCTTATCACCATCCATGGCATTTAATCTTAAAAATTACTATTACTAACTATTTGTGGATTTTATTTTGAAAATCCAGACTCCGTCGGGCTTCCTGGTAAGGTCTTGTCATCATCCAGGACTTTTATTTTGAAAAACCAGCATCTTTTAGGCTTCCTTGAAACATTCTGTAACTATTTGGGTGTTTTATTTTGAAGGTCCAGCGTTTTTTAGACTTCCTAGGGAAATCCTGTAACTATTTGGGGGTTTTATTTTGAAAATCCAGTGTCTTTCAGGCTTCCTGGGAACATCCCGTTACTATCTGGGGGTTTTATTTTGAAAATATTATACACTATTGAAGTAGTGTGACAGAAGGTGCATGTCTGATATCTTTATCATACCTAAGCAATTCATTTCTAATCAGTCATTTGAATTATTTGATGTCTGACTGAGATGTGTTGATTAAATTTTTTTTTTTTCTCTGCAGAGTTTTAAAGATGAGGAAAATCAGCATCAMGACATTCTTGCTGRYAGCAGCTGTTGGTCTGTTGGTCTTCCATCTCTGTAAAGATTTTACTGACAAAAGACCCATCTGCAGCCCCATACATGTAAGAGAGGAGGGCACTAAAATAAGAAAGTCCCCCTCAAACAACTCCTATGTATACTCCTKGCCGAAATGCCAAACAAACATGTCTGCTGGAAATGTCGAAGACTTCAGCTCTTTTCCTCAA